AGAGAGAGAGAGAGAGAGAGAGAGAGAGAGAGAGAGAGAGAGAGAGAGAGATTGATCCAGCAAAGAGAAAAGGAAAGGAGGAAGTTTAAGATCTGGGAACCTGAAGGAACTGTCACAAAGGGACATAGGCCCTTCTCCAGATAGGAGACAGACAGGAGTTCAGAAGGATGAGTGCTCTGGATGGTTAACAAAACATCCTTTCAGTTCATGCTGTCTTGCCCTGTTGCTAACTGGATGGATGCCCCTGACCACTGCTTACCATACACCTAGGAGGTCATCCTTAGAGTTAGATGATTTTCTTAAGCCAGTGCCTGAGAAGATCCTCCCTAGACTGAAAATCTCTCCAAGTTTACTCTGAATTAACCAAGATGATGCTTCTTGATATCCAATTTGTTAATAATGCAGAGAAATTTAACAGAAGACATTCTCTTCAAGCCCTAATAGACAGCCGGTTCATTGTGTGCCATCCTTAGGAAGTTTTCAGCAACACCCTTGTCTTACAAGTGATGAAGTTGGAAAACTGACTGCATGCATGACTGAGCCCACTCAGAGTGGAGGGCGGCACCATAGGTATACTAGGGATGAATAGCATAAGAAATCAACAAGGGGCAGAACTTTACTAGACATTTGCCTGAGTAGTGCTAAGACCTCCCCTTAGAGACAGCCGTAGTACGGCAAGCAGGGATCCCCAGTGAACAAACGGAGAGAAATCAATTAGAAGAGACTTTAAAAATGCATGATGGGCTCCAGCAGGCAATGAGGCCACCAAGGCGTATGGGGTACACAATGGAAGAAAAGGGTCCATCAGGGAGGGAGACAAGTCAAAAGGAGGCATTGAAGTAAGACCTATGAAGGTGGAAACGTTGGTGTAGAGCTGGCAGGTAGGGTCTTAGGAATGAACTGTCTGACTATACAGAGCTTGCAGTATGAAGAAACTTAAGTAAAGTCATTGCTGCCGCATGGTGCAGATCATTGGGACAGGTTAGGTTAAAGTCTACTTTTGTTAGAACAGCAGGAAAGATAATGTTTAGAAAACCGGTGATAGATAGGCCAGCAGGGCAGGAAGGGTGGGTACACACAGTGAGCAACTGTGTCCCATCACCCTCACACACTCAGGAGCCACCGTTTACATTCAAACAATAGTTAGACTAATTGCATATCATTTGTAATTCTGTGCTGAAGGAGGCTTGATGGAAGATCATGATTAGGTAATATTTAGTATTCTTAATTCACATTTCCCCCCTCACCTATGAGTAATAAGACTGAGTTTCATTTGCATCATTTTATAATTTAGCTAATTTCCTGATTCAGACATCACTCCCTCCCACTTTCTTTAAATTACATTGCTTATCACTCACTAAGTTCCAGAAACAATGCCAACAAAATCCCCTGTAGGATGAAGGGTGTTTGCATGAGGTGTTTTGCCTTTGTCTTGATTTTGGACATAACTATGTATATTCTAATGAGTTACATATTTGAAAACTGGTAGGTTCTCAAAGCTCAGATAATTTCTCAATACTGGGACTTCTCAAACACAAGGAGGAGAATTGGACGTGACATCTGAGGTAGATGAAATTGGAAATTGAAGCACACCAAGGCTTTGACTGAAAACCTCCAGGCTACAGCTGTGTGTCTACACACAGCTACTGGGGAGGACCGAGATGCGGGTAGGTGGAAGGCAAGCCTGTGCTTGACTGTCCTTCTGGGTTTTGTAGGAATCTGACATGCTTAGGACAATGCAGCAGGGCAGGACAGCGAGAGCAGATCTTAAAATAAGGGGCAAGTGGCAGGAGGGATAGAAATGGGATAAGAGGAAAGGTTCTAAGTTTGTCAAGAAAAAAACTAGAAAGACAGAAACAGGGATATTGTGCCTTCTGCCAACATAGCTTTGGGTCAGGGAAGAACATGAATGCTAAGTAGTCCCAGGGATGTGGGCTAAAAGGGTTGAGACAATGGGAGATAAGATGGGATGGGTGTAATTTCCCAGGACTTATGCTGATACTGGAGCATACATATTGACAGAAACTCAGGGCTCTAGTCATGGGAATCCATGACTGACTTTAGTTCCATTGGCTTTGAAATGAAGTAGGCATTGGGTGAATGTGTTCTTTCCCTTGCTGAGTATAGTTGGTAGAGACCACATAGGATGAAGAAGAACTGTGGGATGAATGGTGTCTCACCAGGTCCCCCCACTTCCAAGATGAACCCATTATCCTGTTGCCCATTCCAATGAACGTTGAGGATTGGAGCAGCATGTCAATACTTTGTTCATGCTCTAACTGTTTACCAAATGTGCCTAGCAAATTGCTGGGTCCAGAAGAGAATGTGAAACTGACATAGAAGCTCAGAATCTGCAACACACTTGTCTAACAAATACTACAGCAGGAGTCCAAGACAGCCTACTGGAGCAGTAAGATGTGCAGTCCAAGAGCCCACGGAAGCTCAGGGGGTGGGGGACTTTCTGGAGGAAGCAACTCCTACTGAACCTTAAAGAACAGGCAGAATTTAGATAAGCCCAGATGAAGCTGGAAGCCAAGGGCTTCTGCTGAGAGGATGGAAATAGCCAGAGCTGCTTCCTGGAGGTCACACAGCAAGGTTCTTGGCACAAAGTTGAACAAGTGCAATGTACGGCAACTGCTGTCGATGGGATTTCCGCCACTTAGACTGCTGTCACCATTTCTGTTTTATGTTCCTTTTACTGCTTTTTACAAAGGCAGTATGAATTAAAGGGACACACTAATGAAGCAGTAAATAGGACACGTTTTAGGCATTTGACCTTAGAATTATGTGGTATAAAAGGAGCCAAGGCTAGCAAGGGTTTCAATCGCAGACAGGCTTGTGTATGCACAGTGTCACAGAACTGCTTGTGCTCAAAGGCAGCCACAGAATAAAGTTCCACTAAGACTGAGGCTGGGTTGCCAAGGCTTCTCCCCTGATTTTTGTGTATCTGAAAATTTCTGCTTTAGTCAATTCGTGTATTTCTTTCAATGAAGCAGAGTATTGAATGCTCCCGGTTTTCAGTGGACATAATTCCTCTCTGTTTCTCTTTGTGCACGGGCACCAGCTTAACTGCAGGAATGAAACAGAGGATGCAATTCTCTGGTGTCTAGTGACAAAGACATCCCTGGGACAGAGGGTGCTAATACTAGTGGAGAGCCAGGGCATGGGGATTTGTTTGTATGTTCAAAACATTCCCTCAGGTGGGATCCAAGATGGCAAATGAGCCTTCAGCAGAGAATGCTTACTGCCTGAGCCTTGGAACGATGGCATTATTGTTGATTATTATCCCTTTGGGGAGGGCCAGTCTCTTCAGCATGCTTATTGTCATGTTTCATAAACATCAAAGGCAAGTTGGCAGGAGCCCTGCAGAGCCCATGCTTCCTTGGCACACAACGCGGGCTGGTTCTAGAAAAGGCACTGTTCAAACTCTAGTCAGTGGTGATGAACTGGAGCTTCAGAGCACTGGTGTGTGTGTGTGTGTGTGTGTGTGTGTGTGTGTGTGTGTGTGTGTGTGTGTGTGTGGTCTAGAGAGAGAGAGAGAGAGAGAGAGAGCAGCAGTAATTCACAACAGGACTCTGCCCTTGAAGAAGAAGCTGACTGACTCCCTGGACAGCTCCCAGCTGAAATTCTTATTCTAAAAGTTGGGAATGGGGAGTGAACCTGTAGAGTGGAGAGAGTGGATGTCATGGTAATTGTAAGTCCAACTGTAAAACTGTAATCATCTCAAAAACACCAGAGAATTATCAACAACAGCAGCAGCAACATGACAAAGGCTGGAGTTATTTGGAGAATTTTCCTTTGGACATGAAGGACTTAAGGTGATAACTAAGGTTCCTGCTGTGAGTCACATTAGGCAGGAAGGGTGTGAAATGGCCCTACCATCCACTGTTTGCATGTGTGAAGCAGCAGGCTCATATTTTCTAGACACCTGATTTGTTCCTGTCCACTAGATCTTTTTATAAAACAGGACAGCACCAGCTCAATGAGAGGGCTATCATCCTTTGATATTACGGAGGGGAAGCCCACCAAACTCAGGTTCTTTTGATTTATTCCAGGGAGCAACCTGTTGCAAATACCACCACCACTAACTCTTCAAAGAATCTGTTTCTCACTAACATTCACTGAGAAGACACGACAAAGACAAAGTGGTCCTCCCTGCCTTCCACTCTCTCTCTCTCTCTCCTGGTGTTGGCCATGGCCCCTAGGGACGTGGTTTCCCAGTCTTCTGATGTTCAAAAATACAAAACAAAACCCTAACAGCTAAATGAGTTTACATTGAGGGGAAATTTCTAGTTTTAGAAAATTTACTATTTTTGCTAGAAACAGACCCTTTACACACTACTCTAGGGTTAACCACAGTGCTCTCAGCCAGTGAAATGGAGTGAAATATCATTGAGAAGTGTTTCTGATGAGTTACACATTTTCACGGAAACAGCAAAAACATCTGCATTCTTAAGAAGCCACAGTGCTAAGCTTTGAGAACTATGAAGCTCTAATTATTTAAACTCATCATGTTGGGGGATTCCCCCTTCCTTAATTAGGAAGGAAGGAAGGAAGGAAGGAAGGAAGGAAGGAAGGAAGGAAGGAAGGAAGGAAGGAAGGAAGGAAGGGAAAAGAAAAAGAAGGAAAAGGAAGGGAAATAAAAACCATCCCTAGTAGCAGCAACAACACTCCCAGCCCTCTCCAGTCCCACCTGTTCCGTCTTGTAAAGCCAGGACACTTACCTTGAAGGAGGAGTAGAAGGAGCCCCACTCCTCTGCCGCCAGCTCTTCAGTGAAAGTAACAATTTCAGTGCAAGCTACTGGGGAAGAGTCTAGTGTCGGCATCGTCTGGTTGGCATGTGAGCTGCCCTCTGTGAGGTTGGCTGGCATGGCTCAGGCAGGGTCGAGTCTCAGGGCCCCTGCACCTGCAGTGGGGTGAGAGAGTCCAGTTGGCCTCCTGAGAGCCGGAGTATCAGCTGCTGATCGATTGCTCAGTGCCTCTTCTGCCTCTCAAGGCTTCTGGCTATTGCTCACCGGAGCGGAGGCACAGAGCCCTCCCTGAGCCCACCTCGTTGAAGAGTTCTGCCTGACAACAAGGGAGATCCACGTGCGTGCTGCTCGCTCCTCTGCAGTTATGATCCAGCAGCCAGCACAGCCCTCACCCTCCCACAGACCTGCCCTGGGTGGCCTCATCCTAAGGGCATCCCTCAGGGCCCTGCTCATGTCCCCCTAGGAAGGGCTTGCCTGTCCAGTGCTTTCCTGACTATGCAGTAGACCCTCATCTTTGCTCCAGCTGCCACTAAGCAGTAATTGGGATGTTTAGCTGTTCCATTAATTCAGGTCAGGTTTGTACCTCTGAAATAGTCAGAGGTATGCATGTGTTTCAGCTGAGATTGCTCTCTGACTTAGAATTCTCACCCAGTCATTCAGTTGGCAATGTACACTTTGCTTCACTAAATGCAGGCAAACAGTACCCATGCTTCCACTGAGGTTTTCACAAGGTTGCACTCACCTGGAAGCGGGGGTCTGTTTGTCAGTAAGCCACAGTCTCTCATAATATGACTAGGGGCTTCCTATGTGAACTCATCTCCCCCAGTGTGGTTACCTCCGCTTCTGCCCAGAGTGCTCAGGGTAAGGACGGAAACGGGACAGTAGCAGAATCCTTGGTACCAGAGAGAGGAGTAGGTAAGCAAACAAACACATTGCTTCGATAACAAACTTATATAACACAATTATGCATTCTTTCATTTGATTTCTAAAAAGGCTGTGGGGTAGGCAGGGAAGGTTTTTATGTTCTTATTTTGCCCCAGAATAAAACTAACACCAAGAGGAGAGATGATCTGCCCAACATCGTCCAGCTGGTGAAGGGTGAGCAACGGGCTGTATCTCCTGAATTTCTACATGGTGGTGATTTCCTGTAACACACACTGATGTGCATTTAGTCTCAGATACTTTCTAGGATGTGAGATTGACATATATGAGGTAGCAAGCCAGGCACAAACCCATCACCTGGTTCCTTCCGCTCACAGCCAGTCTGGGAGCCATGCAGGCCAGCCATTGGTTTACTACCCTTGGTAACCACTGCCGCTTTTCCATCACGAAAGAACAAGACTCGTGAAATATCCTGGGAAAACTTTAGTGTGACTTCTCTAGCACCATGCAGAGGCCAGTGCACTGGAGATGGGAAGACAACAAGACAGAGGTGGGTAAGTGCGCATTCTTAGAGAAAGGTCAAAAGTAAGCAAGGGCTCAATGAAAAATGCACTTCCAACTGCAAGAAGCCCAGCTGGCAAATGACCAGGGGAAGATGCTCAACCACATTGGCAGCCAAACAAAGAAGTTTAAGCAGAACGTTAACACACAAGCACAACGAACACAAGAGACGGCAATCCCAAAATGTCCTCAAGATTAAAGGGAAGTAAAGAAAGTACACGTTTTCATTCTGATGCAATTTAGTTGGCATGGTTATTTCAAAGAGAAGAATGTCAGGAGGTTGGAGTCACATGCTCCAATGCATGGTTCTGCTTACATAGTTATTTAAATGTGTTACTTTGGGAATGGTCAGTACACCAACACTTTTAAAATGTGCATTTTCCTATAGGAATTTTTCACTTCACCAGTCTTTTTTTTTATTGAAAATAGATTTTTTTCCATATGATATATTCTGATTGTGGTTTCCCCTCCCCCAGCTCTTCCCAGGGTCCCCCTACTTCCCCACTCTCAAATACATACCCTTTCTTTCTCTCTTCTTCTCTTATTAGAAAATCAATAGGCATCAAAGAATAAAAAACAGCAACAAAGAAACCAGAATGAGACAGAACGAAGGAGAAAAAAAGAGGCAAAAAAGCAAAAGAAACACATACAGACACAGAGACACACATTTGCACATACAGAAATCTCATGAAAATACAAAATTAAAAACCTTAATTTGTAAACAAGAGACCTATAAAGTTAAAAATACTCAGACAAAGCACTATGAATTATGAGACAAAAAAAATAGCCTCCGAAAATATCATTGAGTTCATTTTGTGTTGACCATCTACTTTTGGGTATGGGGCCTGCCCTCAAGTGTGGTTCATATAACTAGTGAGATTCTGTCAGAGAAAACTAATTTTTCCTTTGGGGCCCACTGTTAGTTGGAGATGGCTTCTGTGTTAGGGATGAGGGCCTGTGTCTACTTTTCCTCTCAGCACTGGGGCCCCATCCAACTTAGACCTCTGCACATCCCGTGCATGCTGCCGCATCTCTCTGAGCTCACGTGTGCATCAGTCCTGTTGTATTCAAAACACTTTTTCCCTTGGTGTCATCCCCACTGGCCCTTACGATCTTTCTACCTCCCTGACCCCTGAGGGGAGGGATTTGATGGAGACACCCCACTTAGGACCAAGTGTGCTATGGTCTCTCTTTCTCTACACATTGTCCAGCTGTCAGTCTCTGATTTGTTCCCATCTGCTACAGGTGGAAGCTTCTCTGAACTCTAAAGGCTGAGCAAGGCACTGATCTATGTATGAGCCAAGCAGAACGTCATTAGGGGTCATTTTACTGCTGTGTTCCTTCAGCAGAATAGTTGTTTCTCCCCTGGTCCATGGCTTATCTAGTCTCAGGTTCTCGGTCACCCAAGCAGTGTCTGGGACAGGTTACATCTCGTAGGGTGGGCTTTAAATCCAATCAGATAGTGGTTTGCTACTCCTACAACAACTCTAATGGCACAATTGTACCAGCTCATCTTGCAGGAAGGTAACAATTGTAGATTGAAGGGTTTATTAGCTGGGTTGGTGTTTACTCTTCTCTTCTGGAAGTATCCAAAAAAATTTCCCGTACCATGAACCGTATTCAGCACGGAGAAGGCTATAAGTAGGCACCAGCTTGACTTCTGCATGTCCAATTAATTATGTAGATGTTGTCAAAAGTATTTCTTTAAACATTTTCATGAGATATGTCTGAGAGAAGGGAAAACTGGTTAGGTCATGGAGTAATGGGAATAGTAGGAGATAAAATGGCAGTTGTCATGGACAGCAGGTAGATGGTGAGGGACTTTCCTGCATGTTCAGGTAGGCCATTGCTTGACTTTCGACTTCTCAATCAAGAAATAAACTTGTACATGTGTGCAAGTGGATATTTAAAAAGACCTTCTGTAACACTGTTAAACATATTGGCATTACTGTAAATAATGAGACATTTGAAGGTAGAAACTACCCACAGGCCTCTCAGCAGAGTGAATACATTTCTATGTAATTATCCAATGAAATACTATATAGCAATGAGAATGATTGGCATTGTTGTTTAAATTCACAATTACATTATAAAACAAAGTTACAAATGTGTTGTTTCATTTTTGTAAGGCATAGCTACACGTACACAAACACATCAGAACACTACGGTTTCAGGCTACGTGACAAACACATTATAATGTTTGTCAGTTTCCCTGGGATACTGGGTAGCTAGAGCGTGGTCAGGCATTTTTCTGGGTATGTGTTTAAGAGTGGTTAAGGATGAGATTAACATTTGAATTGGGAGGCTCAGTTATACAGGTGTCTTTCCTGTGGATAGCCCTTAGGCACACAGCTGAAGTCACCCACAAAGGACTGATTCCCCGTGAAAAAGAGGGAACTCTTGCCTTTGTAAAGATGGAATGTTGCCCTTGTCTCTCCTTTGCATCTGAATTGGACTATGTTCACAAGCCAATTTGATTTCCAACATGGGTCTTGAGCCTCTTGGTTCTGCTTCTTTGGAGAATGTTGATTACAACATGTGGCTTTTAGATCCTCACCTGACCTCCTCCCAAGATCCCACAGAAAAATTAGGGACACAGACAAAATGCAGAGCACAGGTTAAAAACCATAAGTCAGTTGCTAAAAGGGATTAAGTGATAATTGTGAAAATTCTGCGTGGTGGTCCAGCTCAGGGGCAATCATATTCCTTGTTTGTGACTGATGGGAATGAAATTTTGTCCACATGCTCTGGAAATCAGAAGAGAAGTTCCTCAGAACCAAGACCAACCAGAACCCCCACATGATCTAGCTTTGCCACTCTGGGTATGTACTCAGAATAAGCACAACTATTGTACTACGGAGGTGCCTGCACACATGTGTTTGACATTTCGATGTTCACACTGGCAAATCACAAAGTCAGTCTGAATGTGCACAAAGCAGGCTGAATGGATAAAGTATGCTACAGCCGCACAATGGAGCTTAATGCAACCACAACAAGGAATAAGATGGTGTCATGTACAGAAAAAAGAAATAGATGGAACCGGAGCTCATGCTGATCAGTGAGATAAGCCACACCCAGAAAGACAAGCATTCTCTCTTCTGTAGAATTTAGGTGTGGGGAGCACATGCAAGCGATGGGTGTGGAGACATGGAAGGGGAAAGCAGAGAGAGGCACAAGAAAGCATAATTGGGATGAACGTGATCAAAGCACATTATATGCATCCATTGACCTGTTGTGATAAAACTCATTACTGTGTGCACTAAATGCATGTTCATTCAAGAGCTAGCAGGCTCTACTAGGGACAGCACTTGGAGAGAACACTCTGGAAAATAGCTTGGCAGCATTATCTAAAGCTGAACATATGTACACTCTATGACCCAGTAGTTTTCATGCTAGGAAAATGCCCAGCGCAAACGAGCACATATGTCAGCCAAAGAATATAACAACGAATCCAGCAGTTCTGTTGATAATTGCTCATAACTAGAAAGAACTTAATTACCCAAGAACAGCAAAGTGCTAAACAAAGTGGAGTATATTTGCACAATCAAAAGCACACCATAATGAAAATGAATTATTTTGGGCACTGAGATATCCTCTCCCCTGATTAGGGTGATAGTTGCATGAGGATATTCTACCTGTGAAAATAGAGATTCACACACTTACACTTTCTGCATATATGTTAGCCAAGCTTACAAACCAGAAACTGTGGGAGACTCCTGGAGAAAGTCATTCAGAGGCTGACTGGAACTCTGTTTGAGGGGGGCAGATGTCAGAGTGGGAAAGGGCTACCCAGAGCAGGCAAAGGATTAACAGGAGCAAGTGATATGCAGAGAGAGATTTCTGGCTCAGCCCTG